CTGCAGCCCAGCCCTGCTGGGGCACTGCTGGGGCAGGGGCTGATGGCCCCCAGGAGCTGAAATGGGGTCCTGGGCTGCGGGCAGGGTGGGGGCAGCCCCAGGGGGCTGGGCAGGGCCCATAAGGGTTATTAGTGCACTCGGGACTCTGACTATACCTCTCCCACTTAATCATTACAACATCCCTTAAAAATCTGCAGGTTTGGTTGTTCTGAGCAAAAGAAAGAAAAGGGTCCAAATGAGGGGCCTTGTGTTGGAAACAGAGACGTGCAGTTCCTCACCACAGCTCTGACACCTTCATGCAGGGAGAAGGGAGAGCTCTGGCTCTCCTGAGGACACCCAAGGACACCTGAGGACAACCCCAAATCTCCAAACATCACCTGCAGCTCCACACTGGCCAGGACAAGCCTTGTGTTCACATTCTCTGTACTGCAGAAATACTGTTTGAACCACTCTGAGCACCTACATTTCCAGCTTTCTTGTCCACCCGCACCATTAGACAGGAATAGGTATAACTACTCAGATGTGCCGATGCAATTCTATTATAGTTGCCAAAAGGTTCCTGCATGCCAAAAGGTTCATGCTATTAAATTTGTGCTTTAATATCCACTGTGCAGAAGTAGAGCTAAATTATTTTCTTCAAGCTAGCCAGCTTGTTTCACAGGTAGAAAGTTCTCATGGTGTACCTTGAGCTTTAAGTGCTTACATCAACAACTATTGTTCAATGCAAGAAAGCTTTGCAAATAATTAGAATAACAAACAATATATGTAATGAGCATAAACAGAACTGTCAAAAGTAGAGATGGAAAGAAGTAATTGAAGGTTAAGTGTTTTATGACTGGAGTCTATTCTGTCAAGAAAAAGCTATGATTTTTCACAAATGTACATAAACATATGCAAACAATTTGTCTGTGCTTTTTTGGGTGAAGTTTAGAGTATTTAATTAAATTTTTCCTCTATCCATTGGCTTCTGAACTCAGTTGTTCAGATGGTCTACCTGATTTAAAATTATATAGAATATAGCATGGTGAGTCTAAGTCAGAAAAAATATAAACCTTTTCCTCTGTCTGTAATGGAACTGTTCATACCCGTCATAATTTGCAACCCATGCTTCTAATTTCTTTACAATACTCACATAACTAGGCAAGGTCAGGAATTTAGTATTTCATTAACTTTTATTTGGAATAGTCACTACAATTACAGGAGCTACAAGGAAATTTGCCTTGAGTACATAAACAGAATCAATTGTACTATCACCAAATGCAAACTCTGTGCTCATTTTTAAACATACAGAGTAACAGGTCCTCCTGACTCCCTTCCAGAGACCTTCTCCCGAGACCACAAGCCCCCAGCACCCGTCTTGACCGCGACTCCCCTTGCTCCTTTCCCACTGCCCTCATAGAAAATGCAACTGCACAAAGGTGCGTGCCGCTCAGGGCTGAGGCTTCCCCTCCCTCTCCGCAGTGTAATACCGTGTGTTGCTAATTCATCTTTCCCAGGTAGGTCTGGTTGTGAAAGTAGCAAATAAAGTTAGTCAGTCCCTATTTAGGGTTGCTCTGTAAAACCTGCAGTCAGAGGCACCAAAATGCTAACATGCTGATTTGGTGCCATCTTTCACTTACTACCATTATGACCAAGTTCCTCAGGTAAATGTCAGTGAAGACTAAAGCTGTGGGTATCTACATATTTTACACAGAAAGTTGTAATACAACATATGCGTTACCAAAAAGCAATTACAGTTCCATCTCATCCTATTTGCTAGGCCCATAGTATTGAAAGATCTCAAAAGGAGCTAAGACTTGATGAATAAGTAGGTAAATAAGTTCAATATGTGTTGATTAGGAATGAGAAAGAGACTGTGCTTCCTTGAACTCCTCCAGTATAAGATTACTGATGTTTTGATTCTAAAGGAAGTGTTTTATTTAATTCACTATGTGGTGTGTTTGTTGTCATCCGGCTTGACCTCCTGAAATCAAAATGCTACTTTGTTTTTCTAACTAAAAAACAACATTCCACCAAATCAAAGCATTATCCCCTTTTTAGCATAACTTTACAAAAATTGAAGTTTTCAGAGAAAATTCATAATCAGTTTTAACATTAGCCACCTGAACTATGCCAAATGTGCCCAAAGTGTGAGTCCCGAAGATGGTCCAATGATACCTCTGCTACAAAACATATTGCTTGAATAATTGCAAGGTATTTTATGTAATAAAATAACTCCTATCTCAAATTTCCTAAAAGTAGTATTATAATAAAATTTCCAAACCTGTTGTGAACTAGGTTTTAACACTTCTGGAAAGAGAAGCAAGCCACTCAGTGGTTTAGGATAGGTTTTTCAAGTATAGATTGTAGTGTACAGTTTTCATACAATCCAACTTGAAAAATGCAAGGTGGTAAGTTTTCACGCAATATTTACATTATGCTATAAAAAAGCCTCTGCTGAAGGTCTTTACCAGATCTAGCTTCAGTGGTAATTATGCTGAAAGTATCATAAACATACCTTGCTCCTGGTGTCCACGGTTCAGTCCTAGTCCTAAACCTAGTCCCAGGGATACGACCACCAAAGCACACAGCAGAACCTGTCACACAGACACAGGAAAACTAAAGTTCACAATTGTGATAAACTGTTACGTTTATTAGGAAATAATTGTGTGATTATTATTTCTATGATTGTATGATTTCTTATGAACTAATCATTTCTCTGAACTTGTTCATCAGAGAACTGGAGACATTCTGAGCCTGAAGATAGGAGAAGCACAAGAATGATAATCTTGCAAACTGCTTACAAGCCAACGCCTTAATATCGCACTTTTAACCTATGGCCAGTCACACGTTGTAATCAGGGAAGTCTTTGCTGGGGAAAAGATAGTAGGAAGTAATCAGTGTATTTACCTGTTTTGCAAATTCTTAATCTGTGTAAAGAGAAGGAAATTGCTTTTATTTAGCTTCTGTATTTTCCTGAATTGCTTACAGGGATTTCTTATGACACTCAGCTGGATTGGGGCTCCACGTGTCAAATCTTCATCCACATGCCAGTTTCTCGTAATAACTCACCCCATGAGTGAGGTTAGAGAAACTTGGAAAGAGACGAACAGCCCAAAGAAACCCCGTAACAGAAAGCAGCATAACATTTGAGAGATGGGTGAAGAGCTGAGCAAGCCTCTATCAGCTTAACAGACACTCAAGATGAATGGCGATGTATGCTGGCTGAAAGGCAGAGTGAAAAGTGACAACCCTCTCAGAGTGTTTCATAGTGTATGCACTTTCCTCTTCACTAAGGCAACGATGGGAAAGAAAATGCGTATCACAGAAAATCACCGTAAACCAGCCCAGTTTACTTCCCATTTTTGCCTCAGAGCCTTCTTTTGACTCCTGCCATTTCCAGGAACCACCAGGCACTAGCAAATACTAAGATTCAAAATAAAGTAGAAATAAGAGACGCTTACTCTCCTGCTCAGTATTACTGTAATGGAGCCTCTTAACTGAGGCTACAGCAACTATAAGGAGCTAAGAAAAACTGTATGTGTAGGTAGGATATAACCAAGTGCACATACGCCATCCTGTTACTTTTCGCCCATCCCTGCTCACAAAAACACCCTACACTCTTTGTCCCTGCCTGTCCTGCCTTGCAGGTGCTGGGTAGAAGTGTGGCAGCAGGGAGGGCTGCCCAGTTCCCAGGCGTGGGTGTACAATTTGGCCATAGTGCAGCTCCATGCCAGGACAGTCTAAGCGCACATTATTCCTTCCCATGGACCAGGAAGATCCAGGCACGCAAGCCAGACAGTCAGGAGCGTAGCACACTCCAACTAGCCCTCTAACAGGGAGACAACCAGGACACCTAACTGTGGGTTTGGCACAGCACATATATCTTCCTTTGGGCAGATACAGTCGGAAGGGCTCCTTCCAGACCCCACCCTTTCTCCTCCTGCTGCTATGCTCCCTGCGACCATGCTCAAGAATTTCGTGTTTCTCCCTTGCTGCCCACCCTCTCCAGCCTCATGTCATGGATTTTTTTTTCGCAAGCAACACCAAACACCAGCAATGCCAAAATCACTTCCCTCACACTTTCTCTCTCCTACCTTTACTTTCTTCCTGCTGCTCACTCCCTGTCTTTTGTACAGGACAAATACCCCAAAAGTAGGAAGGGAAATGGAATTGGTGAGAGAACTGGGTAGGAGAGGCAGATGGGATAAGCGTGTTTGGATAGGAATGCTGAAGTCTCTTGAAGAGAGACCCCAGGAGTGAAGGCAGCAGTTTAATCCTACATCCAGTCAGCAAGGACTGAGAATCAGGCGGTGCATTTGGGCTAGAACAGCGGCCACTCTTTCTGGGCAGGGAGGATAACGCTGCCAGGGTAACCTAAGAGGTCTTGCTTCCCTGAGTACAGCTCAGCCCAATCACCAGGGCATGCACTCTTCACCTTAAAGTTCACTATGGTTTTACCCTCCATTTTCATTAAAACTCACATTTGTAATTGAAATAAATAGATGGTACTAAATTGAAAGTACAGGTATTACAGCAGCAAACATTCCCACTGCTGCAAGCAATGAGAGAGGTGAAGTAAAAACCAAAAACTCACAGCAGGTATAGATGCTGCATTTATTATAGCATTTGCACAAAGACCCTTGATTTTGGGACATTCATCCTTCAGATGAAATAACATTGGTAGTACCTATTTAAATCCTCAGACTTTCCACAGCTAACTTCTATGTCTAAATTCAGGGCTATGGCTACTTATTCATAAAAAAGTTGTTCCTAATGTATATGCTTTGTTCTCTGGAGGACTTATTAGACAGCGTGACTACTATTTGTGAGTACACAATTCTCTGCGTAAGCTTTCAGGAAAAAGTTGCCAAGGAAGTACTTCATGCATATAGTTTATCAAAAACATAGATAAATGGTGTGGAATATTAACAGTTTATACCTCCAATATTTATATGTTTTTTTTCATATAGGCAGGCGTTTGAAAACTAGTGTGTTTGGAGGAATGAATATGTTTTAGGATACTTAAATTTCTCTCTTTACTCTTCCAAGTACCTCTGGAAATAATATAATTTACTTGCCTTCATAGTTCGGCATTTTTCCCACATTGTTTCTCATGATTTATTTATTTTTACTGAAGATTTAAGGAAAAAATGTCTGTCATTTTATCTTCTCTTTTTTTTCTCAATTTTCAATATTTCCCTCATATTTTATGCAATCCTTGCACAATGCAGCATTAAATAGGAAGTTGTGGAATTGTTCTGATGACACAGAGCTGAAGAGTATCATAACTTGACTCTCTTTTTCATAGGGCTGTTTTCAAAATTAAGTTTTGAGTCTTTCCAAAATCAGTACCTGACATTTTCTCTCAAATCCCATTTACAGATGCAAGAGCTTATGCAAACATACACATGTACATATATATATATTTAATGCTTGTTTCTTTTGAGGTCACAAACAGAAGCTTAAAACTGTGTATTGGCTGCAACAAAAGATTTAAAAAACATAGCAAACCCCTACACATTATTATTTACAAGACAGCTGCGTGACTCTTAAAGCCCTGGGGAAGAGGGAAGGAGTTGACATGATATTTGCGATGAGGGACTGTACGAAACAGTTCATTAGTCTTTTCCCACGCCTTGCTTCCTGAGTATTTTTCACCAACACCTTGCCTACATGTTCTGTTTTGTTAATGACAAATCCAAAGATAAAAACATAAGCAAAAAGGAACTGCAGCTGCTTTGGCCACAAACACATCTGTTTTAAACAAACGTATAAAATAAAGTATTGAAGCAATGTCTTTGCTGTGCAAAAGAACTGTCAGGTTATCGTAGTAAAACAAAAACTGCAGTTAACTGCATAAAAAACCAAGTTCGCTTCATAAGTACCAGAAGAATTTTACAAATCTGCCAGTGAAGTTAGTACATTCATGCTGTAAAACTTTAAGCACCAATTACCAAGCTACCCTGAATGATTATATTAAGGCAATGAAACTTCTAGAAGTTCTGCAAATTTGAGAATTGTTAAACTAGCAACCCTGAAGAACAGCACCTACTTACAGCACAGATGACTTTGTATTTCAGGAGGTTTTTTTTCTTCACATACTCTGTTGGTTTTAAGGACACCTCATCCAAATGTCCGCTTTGATGCTTGATGATATCATCCTGAAGCTCCATTTTGCCGAGATGTGCCTCTTAGCTGCGCGTATGCTGCACTCCTCAGCCTCCCCAGCTGGGTTAGCTGCAACTAAGACACTATTCCTGCTTCAAGTGTGTACGTACTTTGTTCATAGGTTTTTTATGACATCCTAGCTTTTGGATCAGTGATAGGTTTGCAGGAAGCCAAAGTAAGCAGGAAAACGACTCAGAAAGGTCAAAGGCTGAAAAGCATTATCTGTGTACAGAGAATCTGTCTGTCACAGTTCAAGATAAGGACAGCATTAGGTAAACTCTTAACTGGAGATTAGGAGTAATATATTGCTAAGCAATAAAATGCAAAAATAACACAAATTCAAGTACTCAACTATTTGGTTAAAAGCTTGTCGTCCAGAGTATTTTTGTTATCTTCAAAGAAAGTGTTAAATATATTAAATAAAATATGAAAATAAACAGTTTCTTAACTGCTGCTCTGTGTCATGCCTATGCTTTCAGGTTCCTTCCCTTATTTAATACCAGAGGATTCCTCCTGTTTAGTTTCAATCCATCTTTGTCACATACTTCTTTCAGCTTGTTACATGTTTTTCAGTAGTGATAGATGTACTCATTAAAAACAAATGGTATACAGCCAAATCAAATTCAATAAAAAATAAAAAGATTTTGTTTAAGTACAATTTGAAATCTGTTTGGTTTTCACTTTGGTGGTTAATGGAAGAGTTGTTGTTATGAAAATGTACCTTCAGAGCTTACTAGGCCTATGCAAGTGTAACTATTCAAATGTTGATCGGATTCTAAAGTTGAGCACCACATGAGCTGTAATTTATAATAAATAAACTTATCATATTTATAAATATAAAACAAATCCCAAACATAGTACTATACGAGCTGTTATGAAGAAAATTAACTCCATCCCAGCCCAAACCAATACAATCTCTACCCCTTATTCTATACCATTTGTGTCATGCTCAGGTCCCACATTATCCAATACATCACCTCCCTTCCCCGCTGCCCATCTATAGACAGATATCACTCTCTTAGTCTATGGGCCACCCCTGTAAAATGTCCACAAAATGTCCATTGAGTTCTCTTCTTCCATGACCTGGGTTTCATCTGTTACGGTGGTTGCTCTGGACCAGAGAGGCAGTATGTTGTGTGGAGTTATTGGCTGCCAAAACCTATTCAGGTAGGGTCACACTTGCAGGGCTTCTTGTGAGGCTTGTCCTCTGTTCAGGTGGTTTCTGCTATAGTACTTCCTACAACACGCAACTCAAACAACGGGTTACAACAGTTTAAAGTTATATCCACTACAGCCTCCACATCTGGTTCCTTTGAACCAGGCTATAAGGTTTAATATTGCTCTCTTCCCCTTGCCCATGCTCTGGACTTATTCACAGGCTGCAGTCCCTTCCCTTGGCTGGAAAGCTGCCCAGCGGAAAAGGA